AATACAATAATCTGGGGCTTCTGGTCCTTTTGGCCATCCCATTGAAATTTTTCATCTACTGATTTAGGATTTCCCTCATAATTTAATTCACCAAACGGTGAACCTATCAAAATGATCAGAACCAGGACCTTTGACCAGAAAGGAACAGAAACCCAACTCCCATCTTCAGAAAAAAAGGACTTGTTAGAAGACACTGAATTAGGTCCCAGAATTGAAGGAGCCGTTAAGGAACCAGGCAGTTCTGGGGCCTCCAGGACTAGGAACAGGGACCGAAGGTAGCCAGGTGCTCTGTCACCGCTCACTCCTGCTGGTCTCCACCTGACCTCATCCCCTGCTGCAGACAGGACTTTTCCTTGGGAAGGGAAATAGCTGCCTATAGGAAGAGATCTCTATGTCTTTCTGTCTACTTCCACTGGGACAAACCCAAGGAGGACTCTGATGGGCTTGCAGCCAATCCCTCTGACCGATACAGGATACCCCTATGGGCCAGAATCTATTATAAGAAGGGGTAGGGCAGCCCCAAACAACAGCTACCTCACCTAATGCAGACCTCACACTGGCTAGGGGCCAGAGATCAAAATGACTAGCAAACAGTCCCTGTACCCTGAGGAGCTCACAGTCCAGTGAGGCTGTGGGGAGAGAGTGGTCAATCAGAGCACTGAAAAGACACAGGTGCTGGAGGAGGGTCAAGAAAGGCTGAAAATTTTCAGAGGTGCTTATGTTCAGGCCCAAAGCACCCCTGCTTCCTGAGCTGAAAGTGGGGGGGGGGAGAGGGGGCGGGCGTTCCAAGCAGAGGGAACAGCATGAGCAAAGACTGGGCACATGAATGAGCTGCTGCGTGCCAGATGCGGAGAGCGGCCAGTCGCAGAGTGCCTTTTCTACAGAGTTGAGGAAGCTGAGCTGCACCAGCGTGCAGTGGGGAGGCCTGCGGCGGCAGCTGTGGGGAGGCCAGATGTGAGGGGACCACCCTGGACGGCTGGGCATCGGAAGCCACCATCCAGGCAGGCAGCGAGGTCCAGGCTGAGGCAGCAGCAGGAGGGAGACTGTGGGTGCTGGGCTGGGAGGTAGCACCGAGGGTCACCAGATGCCGGGGACAGGCGAAGAGTGGTGACTCCCAGCTTCTGGTTCAGGCATCTGGATGGCGAGGTAGGGAGCCGGGAGGAGGATTGGTTTGGAGGAGGCACTGACTTCTCTTGGGGGGCAGTTGAGTTTGAGGGAGCCAGTAGCCTGCGAGCCATCAACAGGAGTGAGGCAGGGCGAGTAGGCAGAACCCTGAGGAACCTCACACAGGAGTGGGCAGAGTATGGGAGCCTGTGCTGGAGACTTTGGGAAAGAATGAAGAGAGAAGTGTGAGGGGGGCCCAGAGGGTGGCAGCCTTGTGGTAGTTGAGAGGGCAGGGGTAAAGGTCACGACCTGCCAGGGAGGGGCCACCCCTTATTTCATCTTTATAACATTAATAACAGGGAGGCAAGGCATTTGTTCATATCCTTTTAAATAGACTTTGTTTTATATTTTATTCGTGTTTTTTAAAATATATTTTTATTGATTTCAGAGAGGAAGGGAAATGAAGAGCAAGAGAGAAACATCAATGATGAAAGGGAATCATTGATCAGCTGCCTCCTGCACGCCCCCTACTGGGGACCGAGGCCACAACCAGGGCAAGAGAGCTCTTGACCAGAATCGAACCCAGGACCCTTGAGTCTGCAGGCCAGCACTCTATCCACTGAGCCAAAACGGCCAGGGCTATTTTATTCATTTTTAATAGTAGATTTTTAAAAAATCACCTGGAACTAAAATTTTCCTTAGAAGAATCCTCTGTGTTGGGAAGTCATTTGCTTGCCAAAAATACTTTTGTAATATCTTTCTTTGAAAAATCAAGAAGTTACTAAGTGCAAACAATCAACTCTGACCTTGCTAGGAGGTCAGTGGTTTCCACATTTGTCTTTCAAGTGACATAAGAGGCGGTGGTATATGGAGGTGTCTGTGAGCATCACAGGACGGTGGGGGCGCTGTTTCACACCAGTCAGGGAGGATGCTCTGCCCAGTCTGGCAGTGGCTCTGGGCTCTGGGACCCTCCCTGGGGCTCCTACAGGGTCCTGCCCAGAGGAGGCTGCAGGCTCCACCCAGCAGTGAGAGAAGTTGGACCGGACCTCAGGACAGACAGGCTGGGTCCTGAGACAGACAGGCATAGTCAGTGCGGCTGGTTCCTCAGAGCGCCCGCCCCGGGCTCAGGTGGGGTTGCCCAACACATGGCCTCCCAGGAGGAAGGAAAGGCGCCGCCTCCCAGGATGGCGAGGCCTGACGGGACTGTGAGTCACGCCTGGCGAGCCGGCTCCAGGGCAACGCCCTCCGGTCCCTGGGGCCTCCCCTGCCAGGCTGGGTCCTGCTCCCGTGGGGTGCTGCCAGGGTGTCTTGGGATGATGCACTGGGAGTGAGGGGGATGAGGGAGTGCTTCAGGCCAGGACTTTGGAGGGAGCCCTGATGCGGAGTTAGCAGGAATGGGCCGGTCTGCTGTCTGTCCTCCTCTCTGGCCACCCATCCTTCCATCCAGCCCTGACACAGCCACTGCCACCTGGAGATGGGGAAGGGCCTCACTCAAAGGTACCCTTCCGGGGGCCCAGAGGCTCCCCTCCGCAGCCTAGGACCCTGTTCTCCCTGGTGCCTCCACCCTCCACACACGCCCTCCAGTGCTCTTTTCCAATATTATCAACGCTATTCAGATACTTTAGGACAATCCCCACAATGCCTGTGTAGGAAGACACTGTTTTACAGGTAAGGAGAATGAAACTCAGATAGGTGAAGTAGCCCGGCCAAAGGTCACACAGCAAGTCACCGGCAAAGCCAGAAATGCAAAGTCATGTGATGCCTCCAGGCAGCTCCGCTCCTGGCCACACCCTCTGAGGGGCCATTACTCAGAAAGCACCAGCTGGTTACGCCACAATTCTGGACCCAGTCTGTGACTTTGCATTTGATTTGCATAAGGATGTCACAAATACATAGACAGCCCCCCTTCTTTCTCCTTCTCTTTTTCTCTGTCTCACTCACACATACACACACAGCCAGGCTCTTCCTCCTCAGGATGACTGGCTGGCTGGGGAGCGCCATCTGGTCTCCTCCAACTGCCAAGGAAACCTTTGCTGGTTCAGAGTGTTCCTTCCCACCGTCCCCACTCAGGACCCCAGGTCAGGGAGCAGAGCTGCGGGGAGCCTCCTGGAGGAGTTGCTGTGTGCTGGGCAGCCCCTTTTCGGTCCACAGTCTCAGGGCAGGGGGACAGGAGTGCACAAATGGGGGGAGGGTTCCCCAGCCCCAGATACATCCTCTGCCTTCTGTTCAGCCCCAGATTTAGCTGCCTTTTCACCTCCCACCACTTCCCGCTGCCATCTGGAATGCTGGGAGGCTGGAGAACTAGAAGGGAGACTGGGGTGGGGATTGAAGGGAGGGGGCCTAGAGCTTGATCCAGCAGAAGGGAGGAGGAAAAGAAGGTGCTGGCACCCTGGACAGAGAGTGGGGTCCAGTGGGGCAGCCCCCTCTCCTTCCTCTCTCAGCGGCACTGTCTGCAACAGTAGCCACCAGCTACTTCCAATTTAGAAGGAAACTGAAACTCCAATATGACAAGATGAATATAAAATATCTCAATAATTTTTATATAGATGACATATTTAAACGATAATATTTTGGACATCATGGATTAAATATAAAATTAACTTCACCTGTTTTTCTCTGCCTTTTTAACGTGGCAACTAAAAAAATGTAAAGTAGTATATGTAGCTTGCATTACATTTATTGGCCAGTGCTAGTCTCAACCCATCCTCCAGGCCAGGAAGTTGCTGTTCTGTAAATACTTAAGGGAGCTGTTTTGAACTAAATGCTTCTTTATTATACCTCGTCTTTTGGCAATACATACGCGCCCCTCTCCCTCACCCTCAGAGAGGCAGTACAATGTAGGGGTAAGAATGTGAACTTGAAAAAAAAATTTATTTTTTTAAAAGAATGTGAACTTGGCAGACCGAGTTTAGGTCCTTTCTTGTTTGTTTGTTTTTAAATATGTTTTCATTGGTTTTAAAGAGAGAAGAAGGGAAAAGGAGATAAAAGAAACATCAATGCGAGAGAGAAATATCCATCTGACCAAGGACCTTTTGGTGCATAGGATGATGTTCTCAACCAGCCAGGGCACATTCTTGCTATTTTTAAGCTGTGTGACATTGGGCAAGTCAGTTAACCTCCCTCTGTTTTAGTTTCATGTCAGAAAAATGGGGATAATACCAGTGCTTATCTCAAAGGGGCTTTTGCAAGGATTATTTGAGTTAATATGCACACCAAGAAGAGGGTCCAGCATACAGCAACTGCTTGTGACGGCCATATAGTTATCCTTGTGTAAAATATGGGGCTGTTCCTTGCAACAGTTTCATGTGACAACATACACTATGCCTCTTTGGGTACATTCCCTCCTCCCAATCCTCTTATTGGTAACTGTTATCCTCATTTCACAGAGGAGGCTTCTGAAACTCAGAGAGGATTAGTAACTTGCCCTAAGCCACACAGCTAGTCAATGGGTTTGCACTCCTCCGAAGACTGACCCGTAAGAACCACTCTGTGGCCGGAACCGGTTTGGCTCAGTGGATAGAGCGTCGGTCTGCGGACTGAAGGGTCCCGGGTTAGATTCCGGTCAAGGGCATGTACATTGGTTGCGGGCACATCCCCAGTGCGGGGTGTACAGGAGGCAGCTGGTCGATGTTTCTCTCTCATTGATGTTTCTAGCTTTCTATTCCTCTCCCTTCCTCTCTGAAAAAGTCAATAAAATATATTTTTAAAAAATAAAAAAGAACCACTCTGTGTTCTCTCTCTCAATAAATGCCCACCAAGACCCTCCAAAGTAACACCTCTACCCCCTCCTCTGGCTCCAGGTTCCCACCAGCATCAAAGACCTGCCAGTCTGAGGAACTTCCTGTCACAAGGCCATCCCCACGGGGTCACCTGCCCCTGGGTTGCCAGTCATCAGCATGCAGGACGGCCTAACTTCAACCTTGACTCACGCTGCAGCCCAGCCCATGAGCGGAGGCTCGAAGTTCATGAGGAGCTTTCTAAACTCGAAGTTCAGGGGTCCGAATTATGGAGCCAATGTGCATTTGATGCGCAGGATCATCGCTGAGGATGCCGAGTGGTCACTGGCCATCGTCCCCCTGCTCACAGATCTCTGCATCCAGCACATTGTCAAGAACTTCCGGAGTGAGTCTGTTCCTGCCAGGAGCAGGAGGGGGCAGCCAGGAGCAGGGTGGATGGGGGCAGCCTCCAGGAAAGGCCTCGGAGGCTGGGTCCTGGGCAGCCCCTCCCCCCACACGGAATCCTCATCCCCGCTGGGCACTTCCCTTTGATCCCTGCAGCCAGGACAGTGCCTCCTGCTGTCCCCGCTCCCAGGCCCCACTAGACTCCTACCCACCACAGGCCCTCCATGCCTATGCCCTCTCCCCACCAGCCCACCCCTCAGGGACCTCCTCCTCCACAAAGCCCTCCCTAGCTGACTGACCCTCATCCATGCTCTTCGAGTCTTCCGTGGTGTGTACAGGTTCTTGGTTTTTTTTCTGCCCTCTGTGCACTGTAGGTGATCATCCTTTTCAAAGACAAGTTGGATGGGAAGCTCGCTGAGGCCAAGGCCATCTTTTTTTTTTTTTTTCCTTTTTTCTTTTTTTTAAAAAAAAGGAATTTATAGTTTTTTTACAGAAAGAAAGAGAGGGGGATAGAGAATTAGAAACATCGATGAGAGAGAGACATCGATCAGCTGCTCCTTGCACACCTCCCACTGGGGATGTGCCCGCAACCAAGGTACATGTCCTTGACCGGAATCGAACCTGAGACCTTTCAGTCTGCAGGCCGATGCTCCATCCACTGAGCCAAACCAGTTCTGGCAGGGCCATCTTTTTTCCTACAGCGTCTAACACTTCCTGGCCCACAATATATTCCTTTGACTTATTGTTTGCCTCCCTTCACAAAAAGAAGCAGCTTCCTCTGTTTCACTCATTCTTGAATCCTCAGCAGTTGGAATTGTGTGGCACATAGTAGATGCTCAAAATGTTATTTTATTTTGTTTTATTTTATTTTTTAAATATATTTTATTGATATTTCACGGAGAGGAGGAAGGGAGAGAGATAGAGAGCTAGAAACATCGATGAGAGAGAAACATCAACCCGCTGCCTCTTGCACACACCCTAATGGGGATGTGCCCGCAACCAATGTACATGCCCTTGACCGGAATCGAACCTGGGACCTTTCAATCCACAGACCAACGCTCTACCACTGAGCCAAACCGGCTTTGGCTATTTTATTTTATTTTTATTTTATTTTATTTTATTTTATTTTATTTTATTTTATTTTATTTTATTTTATTTTGAAAGAGAGGGCTAAGGGACCGCTTTGCTTGAGAATCCAAACATCCCCGTTTGCCTTCCTCCTTAGGCTTTTATTGTATAATAACAACAGCTCGAACTAAACTGAACTGTTAGATACTGTGAGAGTCGGGTGAGATCCTCGAGAAGACACATGAGTCTGCAGCGTCCTTTAAGCAAGGACGTCTGAAGACTGAGCATAAAGACGCCAGTAAACACCGGGGGCTGGGACTTGTTTGGGGAAGCCAAGGCAGGGGCGCTCCTGTTGGTGCCTCCCCACACCTCCCCCTGCTTTGTTTTGCTGGGTGCAGAAGACAGAGGGAGGTGGTGCGCTTTCTGCTTTGAAATGTCAGGGACCGTGAAGTGAGTTCACTGCTCTAGTTCCAATTTTACAAATCGGCCGCCATTTTTAATCCTTTAAAAACTAAAAAAAATTAAAAAAAATTAATGAATGAATCAAATCACATTGGGAGCCTCTGAAGTCAGGGATTGTCTCCTCCATCAGGCTAAGTGATGACTGAGGGCTGGACCTGAGATTCTTCCTCAGACTGGCAGCTAGCTCCCTCAGGCCAGATGCTATGATGTCAACTATCAGGGACTGTGTCTTCCCTTCAGATGGAAGCTTCCCTGAGAGTAAAGTCTGCCTTCCCTCTCCCCCCTCCACCTCCCTTGCCACAGTGCCCCCAGGCAGGCCCAGCCCAGGGCCCCCACGGGTGGTGACCTCAACACAGGGTGACTCCTGCTTCCCTCCCTCGGTCCCCCAAAGACAACCCGATCCTGAAGCAGCTGCTCCCGGAGCACCAGGAGAAGGTCCTGCGCCAGCTGCCCCCGGACCTGCCGCTGGCCGTGACCGCCAACCTGATTGACGACGAGAACTACTGGCAGCGCTGCTGCGAGCAGCGCTGGCCCGTGTGCCACCTGGACTGCCACGGCGGCAGCTGGAAGCGCGTGTTCTTCGAGCGGCACCTGGAGAACCTGATCAAGCACTTCATCCCGGACACCACGGACCCCGCCGTGATCCTGGACCTGCTGCCGCTCTGCAGGAACTACGTGCGCCGGCTCCGCGTGGACCAGTTCCTGCCGCCCGTGCAGATGCCGCCAACGCCGCACGACGGGGACCAGTCGGAGTCGGGCAGTGAGGGGGAGATGGAGGAGGCCTCCATGGACCACTACCAGCTCGGGGAGCTGGTGGCCGGCCTGAGCCAGCTGGAGGAGCTGGACCTGGTGTTCGGCATCAAGGACTGCGGCATGAACTTCGAGTGGAACTTCTTTCTCTTCACTTACCGCGACTGCCACTCCCTGGCGGCGACCATTAAGGCCTGCCACACCCTTAAGGTACCATCTGCTCTCTCCCCTGGCCTTCCCCCGTTTCCATCCTTAGCATCTCTCTGACCCCCCTCTCACCGTCTGGGCCTCAGCTATCATCGTTTCCTCAGATCCTTTTTTTTTTTTTTTTTTTTTTTTTTAATATATTCTATTTTATTTTATTTATTTATTTATTTATTTATTTATTTATTTTTACAGAGAGGAAGAGAGAGGGATAAAGAGTTAGAAACAACGATGAGAGAGAATCATGGATCAGCTGCCTCTTGCACACCCCTTACTGGGGATGTGCCCACAACCAAGGTATATGCCCTTGACCGGAATCGAACCTGGGACCTTTCAGTCTGCAAGCTGACGCTCTATCCACTGAGCCAAACCAGTTTCGGCCCTCCAATCCTTTTCTCAGTCACAAATCGAGTGTCCTTTTTGCACCTCTGCACCCAGCTGGGTGCTAGGGATGCAGAGATTGAGCCAGGCACTGCCCTCCCAGTTCACCAGCTATTTATTCCTTTGACAAACATCTGCGCTCCGGGCCCTGTCCTAGGTGCTGAAGATTCCGTTCGGAGCAAAATCATACCATCTGTGCCCTCTAGAGTTAACTGCCTAGTGCGGTGTAAGACACTAATCAGCAATCATGTGAATGTAAAACTGCAACTAGGCTATTTGCCAGATTTAGAAAAAATAAAACTCTACAAAAAAAGGGGGGGAGCGTCCAGTTACATTTGAATTCCAGAGACATATTGAATGATATTTTAGTATGAATAAGTCCCAAATATTCTAGTTGGAAGAGGGAGATCCTGCCAGGAAATCAGAGAAGGAAGAAAAGGGGACACCGCATTGTGTCACCAAGCCAAGAGAGTTTGACTCAGTGGATAGAGTGTCGGCCTGTGGACTGAGGGGTCCCGGGTTTGATTCCTGTCAAGGGCACATGCCCTGGTTGCAGGCTCAGTCCCCAGTAAGAGGGTGCAGGAGGCAGCCAATCAATGATTCTCTCTCATCATTGATGTTTCTATCTCTCTCTCCCTCTCCCTTCCTCTCTGAAATCAATAAAAAATATTTTTTGAACAAAGAAAGAAGAGAGGGTGACCAGCAATGGGGTGGAGTGGAGCTGAGGATTGGACTTAGCAAATGTGGAGGTTACTTGGGGGAGGGAGTAGCTCTGTCGGTGGAGTGCCAGGAGCAGAGGCCAGATCGGAGTGCTGGAGTGGTTTACGGAGAGAGTGGGAAGTGAGAAAACGAGATGTCTGTGATCAACTTCTTCAAGAACTTGGCTGTGATAGGGGAGGAAGTGGAGTAGAAATAGATGAGGGGGGTGGGTTTTCTTTAAGAAGAAGCTTGCGGGTGTTTAAAACCAATGGAAAGTTCCATCCAATTGCAAGAAATGGGTTGAGTCCAGGACAGAGGGTACTGGTTCATTGACCACGGAAGGTTCCAGAGAAGGCAGGATGGTGGAATCCAGGACGGAGGTGGGCGGGTGGCTCTGGCCTGAGGGAAGAGCAGGTGTGGGGGCATGTTGTGTTGGGTATAGGAAGATGAGGGGTTCCCATTCAATGGCTGAGAGGCAGGAGGACATTTACCTGCTGGGAGGAGGCTTTAAGGTGAGCCCTGAAGTTTGAGGAGGCTGGAGAAGGTTGAAAGTGTTGTAGGTTATGAGAGAATATGTTGGCCAGAGAAACAGAGTTGAGTGAGCACACAGCATTGAGGGCTATTGGTGGGTCCAGCGAAACCAGCCAGTTCTGTCACAGGACATTTCCCATCATGTCAGTTGCCTGGGCACAGACATGCAGAAAATAAGAGAGTGGGCTGGACCCACGCTTGGAGCTTTGCAAGGTAGATGCAATGAAAAGGTGAGAAACAAAAGACTCTAAGCTGGCTGAGAGGGGTGGAAAGAAAGGAGAGAACTTATGGATAGGGAGGGAGTGAACAGGCCAGCCATTCTGAGGTCTCAAATAAGAGGGAGGAACAAGTCAGTGAGAAGGAAAGAGATGGGGGCTCTCCTTTCTCATATTCATAATGCTAATCCTACACCCTTTCTTTTATCTTTTTACTTCATCCCGTCCATTTCCTGGTTCTCACCACCCCCCCCCTCACTTTCTCCTGGTTCTTACCCTGAGTTCCTCTCCTTGCTATGGTGGAGCTTAGCCAGCTGAGTAGGATCCAGCAAGGGGCCACTGGGTCAAACAGGCGTAGATTCAAAACCTGCCTCCACAGCTCAATCACCGTGTAACTGGGCAAATGGATATGTCCACCCTATGCCTCCATTTTCTGCCTGTAAAGTGGAGAGAACTCATTCTACCTCACCGGGATGCTGAGGTGGGGGAGAGAATGGTTATGGCATGTTCTAGCAGCATGCCCAGCACATAGTAATTTCTCAAGAAATGGTTGCCTTTTCCCCTACTACCTGCCAGCAATTGAGCACCACTCTGCCGTGTTAGGTAAGCCAGCCAGGTAGCCAACCCAAGGTGAGCAGAACCTCAGGCCTCCCTGTGGCTCCCTCTTCTATCTGCAGAAGGTAGGCAGGCAGGCAGATTCTCCCTGGCTACCAGGTGCTATGGACCTTTTACCTGTCCACAGATCTTCAAGCTGACCCGAAGCAAGGTGGATGACAACAAGGCACGCATCCTCATTCGCAGCCTCCTGGACCACCCGGCCCTTGAGAAGCTGGACCTGTCACACAACTGCATCGGGGACCGTGGTGCCCGTGCAGCCGCCAAGCTGCTGAGCCACAGCCACCTGCGCGTGCTCAACCTGGCCAACAACCAGGTGCGGGCGCCCGGGGCCCAGTCGCTAGCTCACGCCCTGACGCACAACACCAGCCTCCTCTCCCTCAACCTGCGCCTCAACTGCATCGAGGATGAGGGTGGCCAGGCCCTGGCCCACGCCTTGCAGACCAATAAGTGCCTCACCACGCTGCACCTCGGTGGCAACGAGCTGTCTGAGCCCACGGCCACCCTCCTCTCCCAGGTGCTCTCTGTCAATACCACCCTCACCAAAATCAACCTGTCCTGCAACCACATAGGATTGGTGAGCCACAGCCCCTGGGGGAGGCAGGGCCAAGGAGAGGCCCTGGGCCTTGGGGATGAGGGGTAGAATCCAGCTGTCCTGGGGTACTCACATGAAGTGATTGTGAAGATCACAGCCTTACCTAGTTCAAATTCCAGCCCTTCCTTTTAGCCTCCATTTTCTCATCTGTAAAATGGGGATAATAACAGTATCTACCTCAAAGCGTACTAAGAGGATGAAATTGGTTATATAATATGTAGATTAACCATTGCAGGCCCTGGCTAGGTCTTCAGTAATTGCTACCTGTTACTCAGGGTTATGGACTGTGCTTGGTGTCCAATATCCATTGTTTTCCTTTCGTCCTCATGGTTACCCAGTAAAATGTGCATTTTTAACCTCACTTTACAGATGGAAAATTGAGTCTCAGAGACATTAGTGAGTTGCCTGAGAGCAACCAATCAGTAGAAGGTGGCAAAGCTGTGATTAAACCCAGGACTGATCCAAAGCTGGGGTTCTTTCCAATAGACAAATGTCTCTCTGATTTCCTTAATCAAGTCTCAGAGTGAGAAACGCAGTTTATCTGAACAGCTAGTGAACATACACAAGAATATAATATAATTGAAATGTACTGTTACTGACTAGTATATCTGCTGATGTTTTCCTTTATCATCTTCCTCGTTTTTGTTGTTGTTATAAATGCTTCTGTATTACATTGACTTTGCAGCAAACACACTATTGGGTCACAACCATAGAACAGCAGCATTCTGCAAAAGATAATAACTCACAATGTTAATATTAAATATTCCTTCAAAATAAAAAATAAATTAAAAAAAAAAAGAACAGCAGCATTCTGCCTCCTACCATGAAATTCTTTCACATTGGGCCCAGCCCACCCACCCCACCCCCCAATGGGGGAAAGGGTAGCTCTGTCAGTGAAGGGCCAGGGGCAGGGAGGAGTAGTGAAGAGGGTCCTCTGTGTACTCCCCTTAGGGCCCCGCATCTTCTACCATCCCCCTCAAGGAACAGTCTTGCTCACACTCACTGTCTCCAGGGGGGTGCTCTTGGCTGCAAGTAACAGAGACCGTAGGTAGCAATTGGCTTAAACAAGAGGAACATGCATTATGTCCCATTTCAGAAGCCCCAAGGTTGGGGGTGCTGGGGTTGGAAATCCCTTGGCTGGGTGCCAGCCCCTGCTCTGCCATCCCAGCCACATGCCGTGGCCTCTCTGGGCGCCTCGTGTGGCCCCAGGGTGGCTGCTGCAGCTCACAGAGGACAGAACGGAGTAGAAAACGTCAGCGTGCTGCACAAATACGCCAAGTTCTGTTCTGTGAAACTTCTGTTCAGTCACATCTCTCTATAAATATGCATATGAGTGTGTGTGATCCTGGGCAGTGATGTAAAAATATGACCCTTACCCTGTGCTCCTTTCCCAGGATGGCGGGAAGCAGCTCCTGGAAGGCATGTCAGACAACAAGACCCTCCTGGAGTTTGACCTGCGCCTGTCCGATGTCGCCCAGGAGAGCGAGTACCTCATTGGCCAGGCCCTCTGTGCCAACCGCGAAGAAGCCCGCCAGCGGACCTTGAATGTCAGCCACTCAACGGCACCACTCACTGCCAAGGGCCCTGAGAACCCTGCAGGATAGGCTAGGGGACAGGGCTGGGGTAGTAACCGCCTGGGTCACTGCCCCACCCCCACCCTACAGTTCATGCCCCATGACGCCTGCTGCAGAGTGGCACACTGGTCCACAGGGAGTGGGGGAGATCACGAAGATCCTGGGGTGTAATCTAAGGTTGAGTGCATGTATATATAATGTTTCCTATTAGGATTATAATTTCCAGGATGTAAGCTCCCCATTCTATATAGAATAATAAATTTTCATCAAGAATCTGAACAGTGCCCAGCCAGTTAAGCATCGATTCCTGGTCAGGCCACAGGTCAAGGTTGTGTGTTTGATCCCCAGTATGGGGTGTGTGGGAGGCAGCTGATCAATGATTCTCTCTCATCACTGATGTTTCAATCTCTCTCTCCCTCTCCCTTCCTCTCTGAAATCAATTAAAAAAAATTTTTAAAGGGTTGAGTACACGAAGATGTGAGGAGGGGGACAGATCTAGGGTAGGGGGAGAAGGGTTATTAAATAGGACCCAGACCACAACCCAGGGAAAAGGTATTACTAGAACCCCTGAAATAAATGACTTCTTTCAGGTATAAGGAGAGGCAGAGAGAACTCTGAGGGACTGTGCCTGCCAAGACTCCCTATGGGGCCACCCATGAACCTGACCCTCATCCCCACATCTTCCTCTTCACTGAACAGATATTTGACCTTTTAATCTTCTCCACCCCCTTTCCCCACCCCCCCACCCCTCTTTTTCCCTGTCCCAAATCCTGCTACAACAGAACTTTGGCCTGGCTCTTACATCCTCACCCCTGCAGATCCCACCTCCCTATTACTAGACTCTGCTTAAGTAACCCAGTCCACAGGCCATGACACCCCCTAACCTTCCCCACAACCTGGAAAGGGGGAAACAGAGGTGACAGGAGGGATTCAACTGGGCCTCCCCAGAGAGCTTCTCATGGGGGCAGGGGGGGAGATGGTGGAGGAAGTGGCACACTGGGAAGGGGAGTCAGTGAGTCATCCAAAACTTTATTGTCCACCAGTTTGATTTGTACAATCTTTGCGCTTGGAAATCCATGACAGAAAGGCCACAGTGTGATGCACCCAATTGACAGAGACCTGTCTTCCCAGTCAGGCTCAGCCCACCTCACAAGCCCTTGTGCCCAGGACACACGAAGCCTTCCAGGTGACCTCCAGAAGTCCCCATCACCCTGTGGCTGCCCACCCTGGAGCCACACCCACAGAAACCACATCCACCCAGGGGCCCACGAGGGGACCTGACCGATGGCTTCAGGCTGAGCCCCATCTCCCATCCTCCTCGGGCTGAGGGACTCCAGAACCTCCGGATCTGTTTTCAAAGGGTGAGCCATGGGCTGCAACCACAGCCTTGGGGGTGCCTGCTCTCTGGGCACTCCTCCCAGCAAGCAGGCGCTGAGCAGAGCACCAAAGGGGGCTTGGGAATGACTGCACATGTGTGCCTGCCCGGGCAACCTAGAGTCTGCCTGTGCCTGACACCCTCTGACAGTTCCCGAGTGCAAACGCGTAGGGGTGAGGGTGAGTGTGTGTGTCTGGTGTGTGTGTGTGTGTGTGTGTGTGTGTGTGTGTGTACATAGCCACAGCTGCTAGCAGAGGTTCTAATTAGAGAAACAAGAACATTCAGTGTAAGGTTTAATTTTAGAGATTAATTAATTTTCTGGTTTTCCTTTTCCCTGGCAATCAATAGAGCTACCACGGAAATAGACCAAAAAGAATCGGTTTCTAAGTCTGTGCGTGAGGCTGTCTGTGTGAGACCTGGGCAGAAATGGTCAATACAGGCAAAAGTAATAACAGCCCCTTCCCTCTCGTTCCCGCCTCCCAGTTTTGACTCAGTCTCAGAAAGGAGCCTGAGGGAGGAGGAGCTGGGTTCCTCCCACCTCGGAGCTAGGAGGTGGCCGGGCTGCCGCCACACAAGGGCAAGACGTGCCAGCTGGCCAAGAACTGGGGCCTGAGGCCACAGCTCACCATCTGCACCTCACAGATGTCCACTCAGAGGAAAAAGGGGTGTTCCCACCGCTGGGCCCCCGAGGAGCACAGACTCAGGGCCCGGGCGGGTTCAGTGCTGGCCGGCAGGTAGGCATTGCTGCCCAGGGAATTATCACGGCAGCCATTCCCTCCTGCCAGGCCTCCCCTCCAGCCTCCTCTCCCTCCCCATTCAGTCATCGCCACAGGAACATAAAGCTTAGCCGCAGTGGGCCACAGACTGGAGTGGCCCCACAATCTGTGCCTCCCACGTTCCCCCCAGAAAAGGAGGGCGGGGGAGCCAGAGATGTTGCATAGGTGGAGGCCATGCCTTGGAGGCTGCAGGCCCAGCCCGGCTGGAGGGAGATGGGAGAGGCTGCAGGGGGGAAGGCAGAAGCTCCGATGGCTCCGGAGAAGTGAAAGCGTCAGGGGTGAGCAATGTCAAGCGACCCAAGGCTTATCCTCTCTGGCTTGAAATATGAGCTCCATCCCTAGGCTCTAAGTCTGCTGTGAAAACTTCAGCTGGGAGAGTTGAGAGGGGGAGGAGGGGGGCAGGTTGTACACAGACATGCACACTGGAGCATATAGGGGTGAGGGTGTGGGGAGTGGAGACGACATCAGAACTCTGGGGGAACCAGATTGGGGCCAGGGCCTTATGGCTGTGATGACAGGACGTGCCTCTGAAGAACCTGGGACACAGCAGGGCTCCTTGAGCTCACAGAAGAGGGGAGGGTGAAGGGGGATGGGCAAGATTTAGAGAATCCCTGGCTCTGACCTGCCATGGGGACTGAGTGTTTCTCCACTTGGGACTTGGGACAATGTCCTCGGCCCTGCAGAGCCCTGTGTGGGCACCCCCAAAGATACACCCTCCCTTGGAGGTCCTTTCACTCCCATCTGCTTCCAGAGCGCCCCCATCACTCAGCTCCATCTCCCTGTCTCCCCGCTCAGCTGAGTCGTTCACCTTGTCTTCCTTTTCCCTGGCGATGTCATTCGGCTGCTTGGGCGGGATCTCACCCTCTCTGCAGGGAGTGCCCTCCCAGAAGCCAGGGGAGGAGGCTGCTGCCCAGAGGCCTCAGAAAGGACCAAGGGGCACTGTCCTGCCCCTGGCCCCTGGCAACAGCTCTCAGCGCCAGGGAGCAAGAGGGGAGGGACGAGAATGACATCTGGACCCAAACTCCAGGACCCAGTGAAATAAACAACCGTGGTGAGAGTATCAGAAAGGGAACCCCCATCTCTGGGGCACATGCCAAGAGGAGGGTAGCAACATGTCCACGGTTTTGAGTTGGAGTATTTACTGGTTTTGAGATGGAGTACTGGCTTTGAGATGGAGTACTGGCTTTGAGATGGAGTATTGGCTTTGAGATGGAGTATTGGTTTTGAGATGGGGGCTGACACCTGGCGGGGCCTCAGACCCATGGAATCCATTAGCTGGTTGGAAGCCAGCCGGGCTGTTCACCAAACCACGGCCTCTCAGCAGAAAGTGGCCTTGGGGAGCCAGGCAGCGAAGGAAGGAGAGCCCCAATTGCTCTTCCTCGCAGCCCCTGAGCCTCCCTGGCTGCACAGCCAATGCCGCTCACTTGAGATGAGGCCCAGTGCAGGCCCCACAGCACAGCGGCCACCTAACAGTCAGAAGACGGCTGAAGGGCTGGGCAGGAATCTGGATGGAGTGCCTCTGGGGAGGAAGGGGTCCCCTTCGGAACTCGGGGGCGGGGCTGGAAAGAGCCGGCTCCGCCCCAGTGGCAATCTCCAGGAACCCATCTTTCCCCGTCTTTCCCCGTTCTGTCCAGGGAAGGCGGGGGTGTCAGCCCCATGGGTTTGTCCCGCTCACCCTGGCCTCCCTGCACCGCCCTCCGTGCTCAGCACAGCCTGTCATCACCGAGACCCCCGGCTACAGGCAGGGGCCGCGGGGAGGCCGGCGGGCTTTGGGAGAGCCGGCGGTCACAGTGAGGTCTCCACGCAGGAGCCGTGGCGGTGCAGCGGCCGGTGGCTGTGGCCCAGGCACCCCTCCTGCCGGTGCACGATGAGGACCGGGAAGTAGAGGGCGTCGTGGTAGGGCGGCGGCGGCCCGGCCTCCTCCTCGTCGTCGTCGTCCTCGTCGTCCCCCATGCTGGCCTGGCTGGACAGCCGCGTCTGCTCGGTGGGGCAGCTCGCCTCGTTGACGCTCCCGCTGCGGCTGCGCCACAGGCAGCTGCGCCGCGAGCCGTAGAGGCGGCCGAGCGAGAAGCGGCTGCCCCCGCAGCCCGGCCCTGCGCCGGGGCCGGGGCCGGGGCCCGGGCCGGCCCGCGGGCTGGCGCAGATGCTCAGCGCGCTGCGCGAGAAGATGGACGAGCTGCTGACGGCGCGCTGGCAGTGCTCGCAGCTGCGCCGGTAGGGCGCCACGCCCGCCGCGCCCGGGCCGCCCACCCCGCCGTAGCGGCAGGTGGGCGCGTAGCCGCCGGCCCCGGCGCCGCCGCGCGCCGCCAGCCCCGCCAGGTCCATGAGCACCGCCTCCGAGTAGCTGGGCACGAGCTGCTGGTTGGAGCGGATGTGCCACTCGAGCTCCGTGCTGTCCACCGTGTTGACCCGCGGCAGGCGGTGCGTGAGCGGCGGCAGCAGCTCATCGCTGGGGCTCAGGCCGCCGCCGCCCGCGCTGCCGGCCGAGCCCGGGCCCTCCAGGCCGAAGAGCTTCTCCACGTGGTAGTGCGCGTAGGCCGTGCGGTACTCCGCCAGCACGCGCAGCGGCCACGACAGCGTCAGCAGCGCCGCGGCCCAGAAGGCCGAGGAGCAGGCGTACCAGGGCGGCCGCGCGGGGTCCGGGAAGGCCACCATGAACTCGCGGAAGTCCACGTTCTTGAGGTGCATGCCCTCGCGCGCCTCCATGTAGTCGTCCAGGCCCTCGTTCTCGGCGAAGAAGCGCGCGCGCTGGCACAGGTAGGCGTTCTCGGCCTCCACGCTGGCGAAGCTGAAGCACTTGGTGAAGCGCAGGCGCGTGGCGGGCGCGCCCTCCAGCCCCACCAGCGCCTTGGACACGTCGCGGACGCCGCAGCGCGCGTAGTCGAACTCGGCCTCCGCCACGTGCGTGTTGACTCGCTCGTGATAGACCTGGGGGCGCCGCAGGCGGGGAAGGAGGCGGGAGTCACTTTTCTGCTCTGCCTCCCCCTCAGGCCCCCCCCGCCCCCATCACTGCTCTGGTGGCCTGGTCAGACCCTAAGCCTGTACGGGTTTTGATCCCGGTTGGAGCCGGGCAGGACCTTCTCATGCGTTTTACAGAAAAACGGAGGCCCTCTGTGAAATTGTTTGTTAGAGACGAGGGCAGGCATCAACCTCATCCCTACCAGTGCGCGTTCTAGTTTTAATTTGACTCTGCTTCCTTTGACGGTCACGCCCTGGCTTCCAGCTTGCCCGCCCTTTTGCCTGTTTGCATCGTCCCACGCTGTCCCCTCCTCCTCACAACCCCCCTGTCCTCCCTTTTACAGGGGTGCTTCCAGATGGGCCCCAGAGGCCTTTGTCTCTGGCCTCCCTGTTCACACCTTAGCAATCACGTGTCACCCCTCCTGATTCTTAAGGCCCCAGGCTTCTGCTTACCCATCCCAGTCCTGAGACTGAGATCACCCTCATCTGGGAAAATCTCATTCTCCTCTTCCTCCAAGTCTCTTTAAAAATTGTTTTTGTTGATTTGAGAGAGGAAAGGAGAGGTAGAGACAGATAGAAACATCAATGATGAGAGAGAATCTTTGATCAGCTGCCTCCTGCATGCCCCACACTGGGGATCGAGCCCACAACCCGGCATGTGCCCTGTTGAGAATGGAATGGTGACCTCCTGGCCTCCCGGTTCATAGGTCAACGCTCAACCACTGAGCCCCCCACAGCGGGCACTCTGGGGCTCTTATATGTCTACCCCTGCAGAGCCCAGGAAGTGCTGATGGGTTATCCCCACTATCCAAGTGGCCTCCCATGCCTACCTCCACCTTTGCCAGCTGACCCCCACCTCTGGGAGCCTTGGACTTGGGACCTAGGGCCCTGGGCTTCCGTCTAGCACTACCACTTAGAAGCTGCAGACCTTCGTCAAGTCCCTGAGCTGAGGTCTCCTTACCTGTGCAAGAGGACTTGGCAGCAACCACCTCACTGAGCAGGTGAGGGCATGCCGTGACACTGTGTATGAAGCGGTCTCCACCATTGAGCAATAAACAGTATAGACCCTGGAGCCAGACTGCCTGGGTTCAAACCTCAGCTCCCTTGCATAATAGTTCTTTGACTTTAGGCAAATTGCATAGCCTATCCAAGCCTCGGTTTCCTCATCTGTAAAATGGGGGTCATCGTTAACTACCTCACTGGGTCATTATGAGGTGTTTGTAAAGTACTCAGAGCAGCCTGCCTGCTGGTGTTTGCAGTTATTATTGTGGTGGTGGTTCCTGCCCTCCTGCTGCAGTGCCCACCCAAGCTCACTGCTGCCTCTGCTCCTCCCCCTGGGGATAGTCAGGCACAGCTGGAGCAGATGTGCCCCCTCCTCCTGTCGGGACGGACCAGTGCTCCCCTCCAGCCCCTTACCTGGGTGGTGGTGTAGGCGTCTCCGTTGCGGTATCGAGTGACCTGGCGGGTGCGGCGGACATAGTGGTAGCTGATGGCCTTCCACCAGATGCAGGGCGTGGCCTGCTGCATGCGGCCCACACGCTCCCGGACGCTGGTTACGTCCACACGGTGCTGCAGCTCGTGGCGGGCCTGGCAGTGCCAGCACTCCACCAGGTAGACAGCGTACAGCATGAGCAGGAAGGCCAGGGGGATGTAGACATAGCCGTTGGAGCAGGGGCTGTCATGGTACATGAGGCTGTTGCCCTGATAGGCGCTGCTGAAGGTGAGGCGGGTCACCGTGGTGACGTGGCACCAGGCCACGGCCCCCAGGCAGCCGTACATGAGCAGGGAGAGCAGCAGGCACTTCCAGTGGGACTCACGGCAGAGGGACTTGGTGAAAGAGGGCTGGATGGGACGCTGCTGCTCGGAGGGACAGGAAGAGGGGCCGGGACGAGAAGGAAGCGGGACAGTGTGGCAGGACCCAGAACAGAGATGGATGCAGGGATGGCGGGGCAGAGGCCAGCATCAGAGATGACAGGCAGAGAGCGACAGGGATATGGAGAGAACATGAAAGACCGAGAGGGGAGCCAAGGACCCAGAAGTGAGCCACGGGGACAGGAAAAGGGAGCAGAATGCCAATACAGGGAAGTGCAAAGAGACAGCCACCCCAAGAAGCAGGAAGAGATCAGCGCCAGAGATGGAGGGAGGAGGCCCAGGTGGCAAACACAGATGGATAGGATGGCACCCAGAGAAACAGAGTCCAAGGACAGATGCAGAGGCGGCCGTGGAGCAGGAGAAAGTGGACAGGGAAGACAGGGGAGGACAGACAGGCATCAGCAAAGGCGGCTCCCCAGCCCAGCCCCCTCCCAGATGCCTCCCTGACACCACCTTCCCACTCAGTGGCGGGGCCCTCACTTCCAGACGTTTAGTCCTACGATCTGGGGGGTCCCTCCTCTCTGGCCCATCCACCTCCACGTCCCTCACAGACAATGAGCCTCACACCTCCTTTGGGGGAGGCCCCCGGAAACCTCAGGCCCTGTATCCTTCCCCATGCTCTGCACCCAGGCCCTCTGTGAGTCTCCCTCTTACACCCTAACACCCTTCTCCTGTTCTAAGATGGGGGGGGGAGGGTGCTGCTGTCCCTGCACAAAAGGCAGTCCTGGAGGAGATATCTAGAAGGGCAGGGGCATGGGGGGCAGAGGGGAGGGGATGTAAACCCAGGGCTGGGGGTAGGAAGGCAGGCATTTGCAGCTCAGTCATTTGTCAAGAGAGAGTGGTTTTGGGTCCTCTCCGGGGGCCTGTTTGACAGTTAAAGCACTTGCTGAGTTCTGTCACACAGTCAGCCCACTGACTTGTTTACATGTCTGGCTCTGCCACTGGACCGGGTAGTCCTGAGGGTAGGGCCCCGACTCTGCATCCTGGCTGCCTACCATGGTGCTGGCACCCAACAGCCACTTAATAGATAGGTATTGAGTTGGGTTTCTGGTGGTGCCGGGCTTCCCCACTCCTCCTCCCCGCTGCCTCTCGCTTTGGGAACCTCGCACACACCCGCCTGCTGAGGTCCCGACTGATTCCCAGAGCCTGACCCGAAGGCTAGCCCGGGGGAGGGAGGAAGGATGGGAAAGCTGTTACTGTCTGGGGGCGGTGGGCCCTGGCCTTGGTGTGAAATCAAAGGAAAGATCTGGACGTGCAGTGGGCTAGGAAACAGCACACAGCATAAACAGACCGGGTTAGGGTCCGTGAATCTTTCAAGGAGCCTTGTCCTTGGGGTGTGTGCATCTGTGCCCCCTCCTGGGTGTGCACGTGTCCCAGCGGGAGCACTCCTGACAGGGACCCTCCCTGCAGGCCCCTCTGCCTGTGCTGCTGCCCTGGCCCAGTGTGTGCATGTGTGTGCACGGGAGATGGGGAGCTCCTGGCACTTCCCTTAGTCTCTTTGTCCCCTGGTTCAGAGGACTGAAGAGGAAGGCCTCCACGTAGGGACATACTTGGTACCAGTGCTGTGCAGGATCCCTGGTCTCAGGGTCCCCTGGGCGGGGGATGCAGGAACAGTGGCAGAGAGAGGTGCCCCCCCCCCCCCCCACACACACATCACATACATCACATCCCAGTGACGGGCTGGGGGAAGGAATGGGGGGAAGGTGGGTGTCGCCTCTCTGCACATTTAACCTTCTTGGCTCAGAGGATACCACTCTTTCCCCCTACTATTCTCCTGCCTCTGTAGCCCCCACACATCGCCCTTCCTGGCCTTCCAGATAGCAACCCCTCCGTGATACCGGATCCGGCCACTGTCCCCACTCGGATCCGCCCGGGGTCCGCAAGGCCCCGCCCCCGGCCCCGCCCCCGGCCCGGGACCCCCAGCCCCGCCCCCGGCGCGGCCCCTTCCCCGCCACCAGCCACCACGGACAGCTCCGCCGCCGGGCGGGACCGGCCGCTCCGGGACTGCGGCGGCCGCGGCCGGGGTGCGGGGCGCCGGCCGCGCTGCGGCGGAACCGGCGGGGGCCGCGCGGGGGGATGGGGGCCCGCTGCGGCCGCGCCCCGGGAAGGGGCGCCCCGGCTCTCACCTCCTCTCGGGCGGGGCCCTCGTCCGCCGCCGCCGCCGCCGCCGCGGGCTCCTCCGGGCCCCCGGGGCCGCCGCCGCCGCCGCCGCCGCCGGCGCTCTCTCCCGCGGCCGAGCCCGGGGGGGACATGGCGCAGAGGGGGCGCGTGGAGCTCAGGGCCTCCCGGGGGGCTGCCGGGGGCCCGGGGCATCCTGCGCGGGCCCGGGGGAGGGGGCGGGAGGGGGCGGGCCCTCGCTGCTCCCCACCCCCCGCGCGGGGGGAGGGGGCCTGTGAAGGGCACCGCGGGGAAGGGGCCGGGGGTCGGGGGTGGGCAGGCGGGCCGGGGGGCCGGGCTGGGGGGGCCGGGGCCGGGGGCGGGTGTCACCTTGAGGCCCGCGCGGCGCCGCTCCGCCTCCCGCCCGCTCCCGCCGCCGCCTTTTGTCTGAGCCGAGCTGAAGCCAGCGCGCCCCCCCCCTTCCTCCCGGCGCAGGAGCCCCGCCCCCGGCCCCCCAAACTCCGCCTTCCCCAAGCCTGCCGAATGGCCACCCCAAAGAGGAGAAGCAACAGGGCTCCCGCACCCCTTCCCCACTCCTAGCCCTTCTAACCATGCTTAGGCGCGGACACACACACACACTCACACACATACACACACACTTGCACATACACACACACCCATACTCACACATACTCACATGCACACACACACACACACATGCACACATCATATACACATACACTCACACACACATACACACTCACACACAGTCACATGCACACTCCATACACACACACACACACACACACTCACACATACACACACTCACATGCACACACACACTCACACACACACTCTCACCGTCCTGGGAAGATCTATGAAAGGGAGTCTTGGAACCCTAGGCAGATTCTTACTCCCAGCTGGTGTGAAGGATGAGGCAGGAGCAGACCCACCTGAGCCTGGGTGGAACAGGGCAAAGGGAAAGGACGGGGCTGTACTGAGAAAGAACTAACAGAGGGCAGAGAGGACACCGGAACCAGCCTGCACAGGCCATCTTCCTCCCCGAGAAGTACAGCCCCGGAGAAGCAAACAAGTGTGTACATTGTCCTCTGCTGGAGACCAGGACTCCAGAGTTCTGATTTTTTAAAAATCATCACCCAAGGATATCCTTTCCATTATTATTATTATTATTTTTCCCAGAGAGAGTGACAGGGAGAGAGAGAAACATCTATGAGAGAGAGACACACTTCGACTGGTTGCCTCCCGCACGCATCCCAATCATGGTGGGGATTGAACCTGCAACCTAAGTACCCGCCCTTGACCAGGAATTGAACCCACAGCCCTTTGGTCCATGGGCTGAGGCTCTAACTACTGAGCCACCAGCCAGGGCCTGAGTTCTAATTCTTCATCTTGGCTTTTCCACTAACAAGCGGTATGACCTTGGGCAAGCACCTTCCCTTCTCTGAGCCTTAGTTCCCTCGTCTGTGCAGGGAGGAATCTGACCAGACAGTCTCTAAGGCTCTGACCTTCTCTGGGTGTAGGAGGCAAAAATCACAGACCACAGGCCAGGCTGAGTGGCTGCAGGTGGCCTACCCCACTGTGCCATCCACCCACACTTCTTCTCCCTGCCACGCCGAGGACAGGAGGAGAGGAGACGGACATCCCTTCATTTCTGAGTGCACCCATTCAATAAACAGGGATTAGGTGCCCACCGTGCGCCCTGTCCAGAAGCAAAACACACAATGTCCTCCCCTCCAGGAGCACAGTCTAATGGGAAGCGGGGACCTGGAAACCAATCATTATGACAGAACATGATGGATCTGTGTGCAGTCACTGTGGAATCCTGTGTGCCATGTGCTGTATCGGAGTCTTTGACATAGAGTAGCTGTTTCCCCACTTACCTTTGGGAAATGAGGCAGAGGGGAGGTGACTTACTCCAGGTGATAGTCACAGAGCTAGACTCTGGATCTTCCCACTCGAAGTCCATGGGGCTATCTGGGAGGAGGACGTTAGTGTGAGGCAAAGCCCAGATACCGGGTCTTTGGGGGTAGAGGACAAGCACACCCATCTGCCGGGGTCATCCTGCCACTCACTGGGGCAGAAGGGCCCCTGCCTCCACTCTCCACACACTCACCCCTCCTCTTGGTCCTGCCTCCATCTTCCTACTGTTCCCTCCCCCGGCGAGGTGAGGGTGACTCTGTCTGCCAATTGCTTCAGAACTACCCAGCCTGCAGGACCCTCCCCGCCAGTGAGTCCATCTCCTTGCCCACACAGGGCAGGGTGTGCCCCTGGAGAGGCAGGGGTTCTCTTCCACTCCAGGGCAGAGGAGACATCTCACTTGGTGACTCATTCCAGTGTCTCGCACCCATGCTTTTCAGAAAGTCCTGCACCCATGCTTTTCAGAAAGTCCTGCCTCACCGCTAGCGTTGACCCTTCTGGGTCTGGTTTTATCCCCTCCCACCTAGTTCAGTCCTCACTGTAGACAGAGCAGAGGTCTTAACCCTGACCTTCCCTAACCCAGATAAAGACTTCACACTCCCCATGTAGTTGTTATACCCTTCCCGCTGTCCCCCACCTCCAGGGCCTTCCCTTTCTCATCTCAGGGGGGCTGTGAAAGAGAGATAGCCCAACTCGTTTGGCCAACCCCAGAGCTCCTTTAAGAGATTAAAAAAAAAAAAAAAAAAAAAAAAACACCCATCCACCCCCCATTCACATACATTACTTTTTCTTGAAAGCCCGGGGAAAAGAGGGGTGACGGGAGGGGGCTCAGAAGGAGCCAGCTGACCATCTGGTCACCATGGCAACTGGGGCTGCATTCAGAAGATGAGCTTGGGTGGAGGCTGGGAGTGGGAGAACAACTAAGAGAACTAGAAAACATCAACAGATAAAGAGAAGAGGATCAGAAGACTGAAGCAGAGGAAACAAAGTCAAGGCCCTGACCACACTGTGGCCCGAGTCAGAATTCTTGAGTCCAGATGATACTGCATGCTCCTTCTCGCCATTCCTGAAGTTTCCCCAGAAGGGCTTCCAGCGGGAGAGTAGGCTAGATGCTGGAAGCAGTGAGCGCCTCGATGCTGACCTCCAGTGGCCAGAAAAGGGACTGCCACACACCTGTTATGGTTCAGAGCCAGATATGGGGCTGAAAAGGAGTAGGTTTTTCCTTAAATCAACCTCTGTATTTGATGAGAGATGTGGTCACCGAACATTCCCGAGTTCTCCTGTCCTTGCAAAGGACTCATATTCCCTGAGCCCTGCAGGCATTATAGAGAAAAAAATTAGAAAAGGTAAAAAACAAAACAAAAAAACATTCACTGAAAACAATTTTAAGCTTTGGATTAGGGGCAGGAGAGCTTGGCTCTGCACTTCATTTGATCTTAGGAAAGTCAACTCACCCCACTGTGCCCTAGCTTCCCAACTTTAAAATGGGGATAGCTCTAGAGGTTTAACCCAAGTGGTCTGGGTCTGGAGTTTATGACTATACTTTTACTCCAGCTTTTGAGGATGGGAGAGGGAAATGTCAGGGGAAGAAGCTGAAAACATCTGAAATGGCTTCTCACAGCTTCATACTCAGCAAATTCTCCCTCTCTGGTCCTCCAAGGGGGCGGAGAGGAGTAGGTCATCTCCTCTCATCTGCTCTCCCACCCACCTCCACCCGTCTCCTCTTATTATTAATCCTCTCGTCCCAGAGACTAGGTACTTCTCTGCTCCCCAACCTCTTTCCTCCCCATTTCCAGTTCAAATGGAAACTTCCCTGCCCCTCTCCTCACTGTGTGCCCCCTCACCACCCTCTTCTCACTCCTGTCTTCTCACAATTACTGTGTTGTAATTGCCATGGGGGCTTGGTGGATCTTAATTACTGTTACTGTGTGGTCCTCAGTTTTGCTTCCAGCAGAGAGAACAGTGTCACACATGTAGGACAAGCTCCACATGTTTGTCAAATTGATGTATAAGATGAGGTTGCATGAGAGAAGGCAGTAGGGAAGCTAGTTAGTAGCTGTCTACACTCAGTGCAGCGTTCTTCCCCAAATGCCAGAGGTAGGAAAGATGCTCCTTTGGGATGATCTTCCAGAGGCACTGTTGGCCCATGGTCGGTGGCACTTGGGGTAGGGGTAAGTCAGGAGGCACTAGTTTGCACCTCACCATGTGGGTACGGTTTGCCTAAGGCCTCCCTGGGCCCAGGGGAAGCAGGGAGAGGGGAGGAGGAAAGATGTGTTAGCACTGGAGCTGGAGCTGTGTGGCCCAATGTGTCTGGGGCCTCCCCATCCTGGCCCCGCCATGAGGAAGTAATATTCCCTGGTAGATGGGGGTAACCAAGTGTTGCAACCACAAAGACCAGTGTTTCACCCCTGGAAAGAATGACCACTCTGCTTTTTAAGTTTTTAAAATATATTTTTATTGATTTCAGAGAGGAAAGGAGAGGGAGAGAGATAGAAACATCCATGATGAAAGAGAATCACTGATCAGCTGCCTCCTTCCTGCATGAGCCTGCAACCTAGGCATGTGCCCCAACCAGGAACTGAACCAAGATCTCCTGGTTCATAGGTCGAAGCTCAGCCACTGAGCCACAGCAGTGGGTGCACTCTGCTTTTTTTAGACAACAAAAAGAGCATGACCAACCTCCTTCATTTAGACAACAGTCTGCCTGAGAAAACCCAGTTTTGAAAAGCACATCCTCATGCCCAATTCTCTGTGATCTGAGAAGTTGACATAGGAGATCCTCTACCCAGGACCCAAAGGGAGAATCACTAACCTTTAAAGACAATGGAGCCCTAACCGGTTTGGCTCAGTAGATAGAGCGTCGGCCTGCGAACTGAAAGGTCCCAGGTTCAATTCCGGTCAAGGGCATGTACCTTGGTTGCAGGTACATCCCCGGTAGGGGGTGTGCAAAAGGCAGTTGATCAATGATTCTCTCTCATCGATGTTTCTAACTCTCTATCCCTCTCTCTTCATCTCTGTAAAATATTAATAAAAATATATATATATTTTTTAAATATGTTTTTATTGATTTTGTACAGAGAGGAAGGGAGAGAGATAGAGAGCTAGAAACATCGATGAGAGAGAGTCATTGATCAGCTGCCTCTTGCACACCCCCTACCGGGGATATGCCCGCAACCAAGGTACATGCCCTTGACCGGAATCGAACCCGGGATCCTTCAGTCCCCAAGCCGACGCTCTATCCACTGAGCCAAACCGGCTTCGGCTAATAAAAATATATTTTTTAAAAAAGAATGGAAAAGAAGGGGGAGGGAGTGAATGACTGAATGAATGAATGGACCTAGGGGTGATTGGCTGGCTGGCTGGCTGGCTGGCTGGCTGGCTGGCTGGCTGGATGGATGGATGGATGGATGGATGGATGGGAGGATGATGAATGGGTGAATTCACACACCAGTGAGTCAGGACCAGGTAGCCCGGGACTCGGAGCCAGCGCAGAGGGCGGGGTCAGGGGGATTCCGGAGGGCGGGGCCTGTGCCCGGAAGCGGCCTGTCGGGGGCGGGGCCTGAGGGGCGGGTCCAGAGAGAGCGCGTCAGACTGGGCATCCCGGCTTCCCCGAGGAACCTCTGCGGCGGACCCCACGGAGCTCCGAGCCTCTCCCACCCTCCTCGCCGGCTCCTCGGACCCCAGCAGCCCCGGAAGGAGGCCACTTCGGGCCGGGAGCCCGCCCCGCAAGACGGCCCTGCCACCCGGAAAGGCGGCGCGGCGGGGCCCGCAGCCGGAGCCTGCCGGGACCGGGCCCCCGCGGGCCGGCGCCGCGGGCATGTCGGAGGCGGCGCGCAAGGGGACGGACGAGTCGGACGAGAGCCAGTGTGACTCGGGCATCGAGTCCCTGCGCTCCCTGCGCTCCCTGCCCGAGACCGGCCCGGCCCCAGCCTCCCGGGCCCCGGGCGGCGCGGGCCCCCAGCCCTGGACCCATCCTCCGGGCACCGGCCAAGAGCCCCCGGAGAAGGAAGACACCGATGGCGAGAGGGCCGACTCCACCTACGGCTCCTCGTCGCTCACCGAGCCTCTGACCTTTTTGGGGGTCCCTGAGACCGAACACCCGCCCCCGGGCTCGCCGCTCCCCCCAGCCGGGGCGCTGAGTCCGCAGCAGCTGGAAGCGCTCACGTACATCTCGGAGGATGGAGACACGTGAGTCTAGGGGCGAGGCTGGGACTGCACTCCTTCCCCATGCTAACTCGGGGGCCTCCCCGGGAGCACCCCCCTCTGTAATGCCCCCTGCAGGCACCTGACCTGGAAGGGGCATTCTCCACTCTCTTCCCAACTCCAAACTTCACTCTCAGCGCACTGGTGAGCTCCAGCCAGGCCCAGACCAGAGGACCGGGGATCATCTCTCTGCCCTCCCTTTAGGAGGTGGGCAGAGCTGGCAGGGCCCTTACCAGGCACTTAGGATTCTGGAAACCTACCAATAAGCCACCGCTAGGAAGAGAAAATTCCCCTGACCAGTTCAGGGGTTTTTTTGTTTTATTTTGTTTTGTTTTGTTTTGTTGTGTGTGTGTGTGTGTGTGTGTGTGTGTGTGTGTGTGTGTTTCTTGCTGGGGGAGAGGGCATCCTTGCTTGCACAATATCTGGAATTCCCTGGCCCTGACCTCAGAATGCCCTGTCTCAGGGAACCAGAGATGCCAGTGACAGGTGACCCATGGAGCCCAGGAAGCCGGAGGTGGGAGTATGGCCAGGGTACAGAGCTAAGGCTGGCCCTGAGGAGAAGGGGGGGAGCCAGGTTGGGACACTCCTGCCCCAGCAGACTGACAGGCGGCTGGCTGGCTGCTGCAGCCTACTTCCTCTCTGCTGAGAAAGGGGAAGTGAGGGTTGGAGTCAGCCTTTACCGGCACCTTCTGTCTCCCAAGTCCCCCCAGTCCTCACTGTCTTGCCTGACCTTGCCTGCCCATTTCTCCCCAGGCCCAGGGGGATCTTGGTGGGACTGGGTAGGAAGCAGTGGGAGGAGGAGGCAGTAGTGCACAAGGTCAGGCCGGCTGAGGGTTTGCCCCTCGGGAAGAAAAATCACTGTTAGGAGACGGGGTGGCGGGCATTTCGGGGTTAGAAACAGAGGGGCGGGAGCTGGGGTCCCAGGTCAGGGATGTTGAACAGGGAAGAAAGGATGTAGAAGGAGCAGGAAGTGTCTGTTCTTATCTGCTTTTTGGAAATGCAAGGGTCATAATCCTAGGTGACCTTTGACAGAGACCCAGTGTGGCCCCAGGCCTTTTGTACTTTGTGTATTCTGTGCCCAAATCAGCAGCCCTCAGGCCCAGAGCTGAGATTTGGGGGCCTTCCTGTGAAATACCTATGCTGACCTTTGACCCAGGAAGTAGAGGCTCCAAGTGGAATACCTATGGCTGACCTTTGACCCAGGGGGTGGGGGCTCCGAGTGGAATACCTGTGGCTGACCTTTGACCCAGGGCATGGGGACTTCTGTTGCTGCCCTCCTCTGTTAGCCTCCCGGCCCAGCCTTTGCCTCCTCTGGTTGGAGACAGGTGTGTCTAGAATGGGCGGTGGGGAGGTGGCAGGACTCCCCCAAAGGAGTCTCTTCCCTCGGAAGTGTCTGGGGTGTGGGACAGATGGAAGTGGGAAGAGGAAGTGGGAGGAGGGGAGACTGAGGGAGAGAGGGAGGTGGCTGCAGGAATGTGACCCAGAGAGCTGGTCCTGGCCGAGGGGATTTCCAGAGCGGTTCCTCCCTCCCTCGTCACTCTCTCCTGCTGCTGCCCGCAGCCAGCTCTTCGCCGCCACTGCCGAGCGGCCCCCTCCCCGGCCCAGACAGGCCTGGCAGCCACGTTACCCCCAGTCACCCGCGTCCCAAGGCAGCTGTCCGGGCTGAGACCCTCCAGCTCTGGCTTTCATTTTCCCCACCTGATGTGGGGAAACCCCAGGACTGGAACTTCCCCTCCCAGCTGTCCTCCCACCCCTAGGTTAGGCCTCTTTGTCCCCTGACAAACACATACTTTGTACACGGCACAGACCTCGCCTTGGAGGTGCACACAGAGAGAGGGCTCTGGCCAGTCTGGCTGTCTGAAGAGGGACCCTCTAGACTCACTCCCCTGCTGGGGGCACAGGACAGGATGTGGCACTCCTTGCTGCTCATTCAAGAGCTTCTGTTCTCTCTCCCTTGATATGTGCAACATTGAGTTTGGGTGCGGGGAGGTGAACTCCCTGTTGGGCTGGGGCTGTGTGGGGAGCTCAGCTCTGGAAACCACCTCTGCACGACCCCAGCAGCTTTCAGTTTGGCTTTGGAGCTGCAGCTGGTCTGGGGGGCTCTGGGGCAGCGGGGAGAAGGGGGTGGGACAGGAAGCTCCTTGGCCCGCCGGCACCCTGCCCGCACCCCCACTGAGCCGAGGCCCTTCTGGAAGGCCAGAGATGGGAACTTGGAGCCTCCACCCCCGGGAATCTGGTTTCCCACACCAGCCCTCACTTCCTGGCCCAAATGCTTACTTCCTGCACCTACCCTGCAGGTGGCTAATTAGAGATGTGTTCCTTCTAATCCCAGGACCCCAGCCCACTCTTTCTGACCTGGGTCCCGACACTAACCCTTGCCCTGCCCTGCCCTGCCCTCCAGGCTGGTCCACCTGGCGGTGATTCATGAGGCCCCCGCCGTGCTGCTCTGTTGCCTGGCTTTGCTGCCCCAGGAGGTCCTGGACATTCAGAACAACCTTTACCAGGTGGGTGGAGAGGGTAGGCTGTGTCCACATACCCATGCCTGCCCTGACAGCCATCCCGAGCAGCCACAGTGACCTTACGCTGCTTCCTCAGGAAACCACATGCAAGACCCTGAGCTAGAAGCTGAGGATACAGACATGAGTAAGACACAGCCTCTGCCCACAGGGTGCTTGAGCCTGGACTAGGGACTCATGTCGACACAATTACACAGCACGGTGACAAGAGTTGTGATGGAGGCACATACCAGCTGCTGCGGGATCCACTTCCTTCACCCTGCCTCCAGGATTAGAGTCCCAAGAGCTTGGTGGGGGTGGTGGTGGGGGGGAAGGGCTTGGTAATGTGGCCATGGAAGAGCAGGGCCATCGCCTCTATAAGCCGTCCTCAAGGAAGGTGCCGGCCGTTGTCAGTCCTGTGCCCACGTGAGCATGTCCCCAGAACGGGGAGCATGCTGCAATGGCCCTGTGACCCTCTGTGCCCGCAGACGGCGCTCCACCTGGCTGTGCATCTGGACCAGCCAGGGTCAGTCCAGGCCCTCGTGCTGAAAGGGGCCAGCCGCACGCTGCAAGACCGACATGGTGACACAGCCCTGCACGTGGCCTGCCAGCGCCAGCACCTGACCTGTGCCCGCTGCCTGCTGGAAGGACAGCCGGAGCCAGGCAGAGGACCGCCTCACTCCCTGGACCTCCAGCTGCAAAACTGGCAAGGTACAGGCTGCCACAGGGGACAAGAGACCAGGAAGGAGGGGGGGGAGGGGGGTTGTCATACCATAGCTTATCCATTGATGCACCCCTAGTTCTAAGTACATAGATACTCAGTACCTCTTTGCTGAATGAATGAATTTGATTTAGGATTTACTTAGAACCTGTTGTGTGCTAAACAGAGAACTAAATCTTGCCCTTGAGATACAGTTTAACAGAGATCATTAATTCAACAAGATGAACTAAGGGCCTCTATGTGCCAGACACTATTCTAGGAGCTGGGACTGCATCTCTGAACAAAACAGAGCGATTGCGATAGACAAGACATATAAGAAGCGGATTCTCTAGTAGGTTAAAAGGCAGAGAGTGCCTCGGGAAAGTAGCACAGAGTGAGAACTGGAATGTGGGGGTGGGGCTGTGTGACTAAATGGTGGTCAGGGAAAGCCTCGTGGAGCAGGGACCTTTGAGCAGACTTGGGGATCTGAATCTAGTTCTTTAAGCAGAGAACCCAAGCCAGAAAGGAGACGGCAAAAAGGCAGGGAAACGCATGGGAGGAAGTGGCCCTGGGGAGGGGCTGGGGCTTGAGGATCCCAGAGACCTCTGAAGGAGGTGGCTGTGGCCAGGGTTTCAAGGCAGGCAGAGTTAGAGTTAGAGAGAATGGGGGAGGGGGATGTCAGGGGCGAGTGCCTGTATGGGGGTGTCACTCAGCAACCTGACCCCTGAAGCATGAAAGTTTCAATAACATGACTCTGAAAAGATGGAAACTTTACGTTCCTTTCCCCTCAGACTTCTGAGGGGGTTTTTGGGTTTTAACAGCCCTGTGATTGAGTGGGCAGTGGGTCCCTTGGGGCCGAAGGGTAGGGAGGTCCCTGAAGAGTGGGAGAGAGAGAGTTGGTGGATGCAGATTAGCAGCCTCCACATTCGCTCTGTCCTAGGCCTGGCCTGTCTCCACATCGCCACTCTGCAGAGGAACCAGCCACTCATGGAACTGCTTCTTGAAAACGGAGCTGACATTGATGTGCAGGTGAGGTGGCCAATCGGGGCGCTGCCTGGCCCAGTGTCTGCCCTGTCACGTGGTCTAGCCCTGTCTCAGGTCCACTCCCAGTGTCAGAAGCGGTGGCACACACCTTATCCGGGGCCCGGACCCAGCGTGCTTCCCCTTGAGGGCCTTGGAAGACATCCTTCTTTCCCTCCAGGAGGGCACGAGTGGGAAGACGGCACTGCACCTGGCTGTGGAGACCCAAGAGCGGAGTCTGGTACAGTTCCTGCTCCAGGCCGGGGCCCGGGTAGACGCCCGTATGCTCAATGGGTGCACACCCTTGCACCTTGCTGCAGGCCGGGGTCTCAAGAGCATCTCATCCACACTGCGAGAAGCAGGTGCCGACTCTCTGCTGAGGAACGTGGAGGACGAGACGCCCCAGGACCTGGCCGAGGATGTGATGCCCCAGGACCTGGCTGAGGATGTAAGAGGCATACACTCAGCTTTGCCCTCCAGACCTTCCCACACCCTTGGCAGAGACAGGAGCTGTAATGGCTGAAATAGCCAAGGAGTTAGGATCCTGGGGGGCAATCCACCATTCCGCCACTCGCCAACTGCGGGATCTTGGGCAAGCTTCTACCCCTCTCTCAGCCCACACTTGGGCTACAGTGAACGTGGGTGGGGGAAGCAGGCCAGATGTGGTGCAGTGGGTGGCGGGGCCTGTGGGAGGCCAGAGAGCCTCTGTCCGAGAGTCACTCCATTCAGCTTCAGCCGATAGGTGTGGAGGAGGAAGATGCCCAGTATTTCCCGGTCTTGGGAATGTTTTAAGAGAGATGAAACCTAGGTTTTCTGTATAGTCTCCATTTGTAAGTGTTCAATGTAAAAAAAACATTCAAAATATTTTGTGAGTACCCTTCCCCCACCCCAACCCCCAGAAACTAGACCCACAGGCCGATCACCTCCTGGGTCCTTCTTATCTGTGATAGTCCGGAATGTTCTTAGAGTGGGAGGATTGCCTAAGGCCTTGGGACTCCTGCTAGCCCAGAGGGATTGCTATTTGGGATTAGTAGGAAGATCTGTTCCCTCCTGTCCAAGAGTCAGTTGACAGGGAGAAAAAGGCCTAATAGGTCTCCCGGCTCCCTTTCCCCACCACTGACTTTTCCCCGCTGGACCCTGATCTTGCCTCTCTCCATTCCCTTTCTCAGCCCTTTGCTCTTTTGCCCTTCGATGACCTAAAGATCTCCGGAAAGCCACTGATGTGTGCCGACTGAAGCCAGGGCAGGGTCTGGGGCCCTGGAGGCTTCCCATCTCTCCTTCTGGAAGCTGGAGCCACAGTCGCTGCAGTTTGGGCCCAGGCAGGGGCCCTTCCGGAGTCCTGGGACTGCTGGGCCAGCACCGTCCTGCGCTGAGAGGAGGGGTCACAAGTGAGGGCCAGCCCGGCCGGAAAAAAGAGCTTCCCAGGTGGATGGAGGTTCTGGGAAGACCCCTCCCACCCCAAAGCCCCGGGTGTCCTGGGTGAAGCCTCTCTGGACGATGGCTGGAGCTCTTGTACCCACCCACGTCGGGTCACCCTAAAACTGCCAGCCCGCAGGGAAACAAGGACTCTCCCGAGTGAGGAGAGAAACGGAAATGTGAGCGAGCAGAGCCCTCAGCACTCCCATCTCACTGCTATTGAGAACTGTTGTTTGAAGACTTGACACAGAAGGCCCCGGACTGAGCCTTGGGGAAGGGGAAGTTTCAATAACATGACACTAAAACGGCACAGACGTTTAAAAAGTCCCTCCCCCCCCTCCAAGTTGTTTTGTGCGAATGCATGTCTGTGTGTGCTGGGGATTTTTACACGGGCCTGCCCTGTGACCTGGCGGTGGAGGCAGGCAGAGAGGAGGTGATCACTTGAGCAGGAGAGGACCTTGCTGGGTAGCGGGGGAGGGCTGACAGTCTTCAGGCTTCTGTCCAGCAGAGATCCTGGCCCTTTCTGTGGAAATGCAGAGGGTGGAGGAAAAGAGAAAGAAGTAAGGAGATAGAAATAAGGGGGCCTTGCCACTGCCTTGGAGGTGATGGGGAGAAGGGCTGGCCTTGGGGGGTAGACACAAGGGAGCTAAGGCTTTTTATGTGTTGTGTTTTTTTCCTTCCTCATATTCCACACGTGTTTGAGGGACCTGCTAGGTCAGGCCTCTGCTGGGGTGAAGACTATGGGAATAAATCAACACAGTTTTTTGGCCACTTGGAGCATACAGTCTAGTGAATGAGGCGGTCATTAAAATCGTAAGAGTGTATTTCCATGTAACATGTCATCACAAGTTGATGGGAAGGAGAACAACAGAGTAGGAAGAGGGCCATACTTTGGGCGGTCAGGGGAGGCCTCCGAGTGTCCTTTCAATCCAGTAAAGGGATGGGGGGAGAGGGAAGGAGAGGAACTGAGCTGGCCAGCGTGGCTCTGCCTGGGAAGGGTGAGTGGGTGAGACGGGCTGGGGCCAGGTCATGCAGAGCCTTAAAAGACAGACTGCTGGCCCCTCCAAAAAAGGAGACATCTTCCGGTCAGAAAACCGTAACAGAAGGGGAAGTGCCCCTAAGACGGCATTGCCTCGGGTCTGGTAAGGCCTAGGGGCGATGACGAAGCAGGGGGAGGCCCGGGCCTGCGACTCCCCACCTCCCCCGCGCAGGGCGGCACCTACCCAGGGGTAGAGTCCGTCTCCCTCCGGGCCGCGCGGGGGCGCTGTGGCCCGCGGCAGCCCGGGGCGCTGCGTGGTCCGGGCGGGGGGCAGGGGGGCGGCCGCGGCGGAGGGAGGCGGGAAGATCGCGGCACTTCCGCTGGCCGCTGGCTCGCTGGCAGCTCCGGGAGGCGACGGCGGGAGCGGAGGGCGCGCGCGGCCCGGGGCTTCGCATTCCCCGGCCCCCCTCCGCCCCACGCGGCGCGGACCATGGTTGCCAGGTGGGGGCCGGGGGCGGCAAGGCCACGTGACGGGGTCGGGCCACGTGACCGCTGCTCCGCCGGGTGGGCCGGGTGGTTCCCAGCTGCCGGGGCGGTGGGCTCGCCGAACGGTCTGCGGAGCCGGCTAGGCCGGCGGGGGCGTGGCGGGGGCTTGTGCTCTTTGGGGGGCGTTAGGGAGCGTCAGGCGGGGGAGTTGGGGGGACCCCCGGCGCTCCGGAAACCCGGAAGGCGGGGTGTAAGGAGGGGGCGCCGCCGCCGCCGGCCGGGGCAGCTGGCGACCGCTGGAGGGAAACAGAGGGAACCTGTGTGCCCGGAGGGGCGGCGCCGGCCCCGGGGAGGGAGGGAGGGAGCCCTGCCTGGACGGCGCCGGCCCCCCAAGGAGAGTGAGAGGCTCTTTGTCCCGGCTGGGCTGCAGCGGAGGGGGGCGGGGAGATGACTCCGGGCCCTTCTCCAGTGTGGTCCCCTCATCGCCGGTGGGTGATGAACTAACGGCTCCCTAACCCTTATGTCCTCCGCCCCCGTAGGTGGTGGGCAGTGGTGGTGCTGGTGGCCATCCCCTCCCTGGGGGCAGGTGGGGAGACCCCCGAAGCCCCTCCGGAGTCATGGACCCAGCAATGGTTCTTCCGCTTTTTGGTGAATGCTGCTGGCTATGCCAGCTTCATGCTCCCTGGCTACCTGCTGGTGCGGTACTTAAGGCGGAAGAATTACCTGGAGACAGGTGTGTGGGCAAAGGGTGGGGAAGTGTGCTCTGTCCACAAAAGTGTTGGCCAGCTGTCTAAGCAGGGATGTGGCTTAGAAAGGGAGGGAGGAAGGGGAGGGAGGGGAGGGAAGAGGAGCGAAGGGAAGGGAAGGAGGTGGGGAAGGGGAGGAAGACAACAGCAGGGCAGACTGGCTGCCCTGGAGAAGACCGGGGCTTGACTGTGTGTGCCTTCTTCAGGCAGGGGGCTCTGCTTCCCTCTGGTCAAAGTGTGTGTGTTTGGCAATGAGCCCAAGGCCTCCGATGAGGTTCCCCTGGCTCCCCGGACAGAGCCCGCCGAGACCACTCCTACGTGGCAGGCCCTGAAGCTGCTCTTCTGTGCGGTGGGACTCCAGGTAGGCAGGCGGCAGGCTCTGCTTCTCTTCCTGCTTTGGACCACGGTGGGCAGGGTCTCTGGAACCAAAGTTCTCACCCTTCCAGTCCCAACAGGGATGTAGTTGGTTGTGTGTCCCCCTCCTAAGGGCACCCTGTACCACCATCTTCTTAGAAATGATTTGAGAAAATGCCCTCCCACCCCCACACTTCTGTCCTAACTGTCCTATTATTACACTTTCCTCTGCAGTGATGTGTTTCACATATTGTACTGTAAACCCACTGATAAAAGTTTGGGGGGAGCCATTCCGCCTTCGCCCACACCACATCTGAGAAGGGGTGCCAAGATACTGACCTCGTGGCATTTTTGAGTGGACACTGCTAGTTCCACCTCATGTAACATGTTAAACTGATAGATGTCCAATTCTTGCCTGCCTGAATTGGTTGGAAATAGAAAATATTTGGGATGGAGTCAGCTCTAACCCTGCTGTGGGGACAGACAGGGTTTGGGCAGTTCTAAAGCATTTGTTGTGTTTCACACACACGTGATTCACTACAACAGTGGTCAGCAAAGTCATTTAGTCAACAGAGCCAAATATCAACAGTACAATTGAAATTTCTTTTGAGAGCCAATTTTTTTAACTTCTAACGCCACTTCTTCAAAATAGTCTTGCCCAGGCCGTGGCATTTTGTGAAAGAGCCACACTCAAGGGGCCAAAGGGTCGCGTGTGGCTCTCGATCCGCAGTTTGCCGACCACTGCCCTATAAGATAAATCCAGGCTTGAGAGGGAAAGGGAAACTTCACAGAGGAACCAAATTATGTATGCTGTTCTATAAACTAGCCCTCTGAGGAAGAGGGAGGTTGATGAAATTCTTCTCTGCCAACCTTTACCTTATTTTATCTGTTTTATCTCCCCCCTCCCCCATCCAGGTGTCTTACCTGACTTGGGGAGTGCTGCAGGAAAGAGTGATGACCCGCAGCTATGGGGCCACCGCCACGTGGGCAGGTGAGCGCTTCACAGACTCTCAGTTTCTGGTGCTGATGAACCGAGTGCTGGCATTTGTTGTGGCCGGCCTCTACTGCCTCTTCTTCAAACAGCCCCGCCATGGGGCACCCATGTACCAGTACTCCTTTGCCAGCCTGTCGAATGTGCTTAGCAGCTGGTGTCAGTATGAAGCTCTCAAGTTTGTCAGCTTCCCTACTCAGGTGCTGGCCAAGGCCTCTAAGGTGATCCCCGTCATGCTAATGGGGAAGTTGGTGTCTCGGCGCAGCTACGAACATTGGGAGTACCTGACAGCAGGCCTCATCTCCGTTGGGGTCAGCATGTTTCTGCTGTCCAGCGGACCAGAGCCCCGGAGTTCACAGGCTACCACACTCTCCGGCGTGATCCTACTGGGCGGCTACATTGCCTTTGACAGCTTCACCTCAAACTGGCAGGATGCCCTGTTTGCCTATAAGATGTCATCGGTGCAGATGATGCTTGGGGTCAACTTCTTCTCCTGCCTCTTCACAGTGGGCTCCCTGCTAGAGCAGGGGGCCCTCCTGGAGGGGACCCGCTTCATGGGGAGACACAGTGAGTTTGCTGCCCACGCCCTGCTGCTCTCAGTGTGCTCCGCATGTGGCCAGCTCTTCATCTTCTACACCATCGGACAGTTCGGGGCCGCAGTCTTCACCATCATCATGACCCTCCGCCAGGCCTTTGCCATTCTGCTCTCCTGCCTCCTCTATGGCCACACCATCACTGTAGTGGGGGGGTTGGGGGTGGCTGTGGTCTTTGCTGCCCTCCTGCTCAGAGTCTATGCCCGGGGCCGCTTAAAGCAACGGGGAAAGAAGGCTGTGCCCATCGAGTCCCCTGTGCAGGTTTGAGGGACCCAACTGGCAAAATGAACGAAGATTCTCTCACCATACCAATTTCCTCTCCTATTGTGTAGCTTCTCACAGGTGGCTGGCTCAGGGCAAAATGCAGGCTTTCCTCGGTGTCACAGACCAGCTCTGCGTTAGGGGCAGGGAGGCTAGGTGGCCACCTTCCCCTTTGCCTTAAGTCACCAGTCCTCTAGGACTCGAGCCCCAGGGGAGGCAGTTGTTTGGAGGGGCGGAAGGTGAAGGAATCTTCCAGAAATCCCCAGAGGTCTTGCCCAGTTAGCTCTGCCAGCAACCTCACCAGTGCTTGTCCCCTCTGAATACCCCTTCATAGGCTCCCTCCCAGACACTTGCATTTAACTCTGGTGATTGTAAGCAGAGTGCTGCTTTCCTAGGATAAGTGAAAGGTGGTGCTGTGCTGGGGAGAGGCGAGCCCTGCCTGCACCATCACCCTCCGCTCCTGGATCCCATGGCTCTACTCGGAGCTGGTTGCAGGTTTTGGTACTTGGAAAATGTAACTTTCTGCTCTCATAATTTTATTTTTATTAAACTGCTGCAATGGACTTGGTCCTATATTTTGGTGGATGGTATTAACATGGTAGTTCTCTTCAGTGTTATGCGACTTCAACATGGTCCTCAGTGACATTGATTTACTCCTATTTATCATATAACCCATACTTCTGATGGCAAGGGAGGGATAGAGCAGCTAAGGGAACTCAAAAGGAGCAAAACTGTATAAAACGGCATTTTCTTTATTTTGCATACTTTAATTTCAGAACAAAATAAAAAAAAAAAAAACACAATACATAACACATCCAAAACTGTCAAATATAAGAAAGGGCTTGAGGCCATTGTAACCTGTCTTAGGGAAAGACAGGAGGAGAAACCCACTAAATATCAGAGGAAATCAGGTGGGCCAGGGCTGCTGGGGGAGCCATGAAGACTACACAGAGGACGCAAGATCTGCAGATAGAAACTCCTAGTCTACTTCTTCCATGCGAGAGGCATCCTCATCGCCTTCAAGAGGGGGGATCTCATCAGGAACAGCAGCACTGGGTTCTTCAGCTGTCACTTCATCTTCATCAATGCCTGAAGTGGGAAAGAACATCACAAGAGATTTGACCCAAGTAGCACCCAAGTCAAATCTATCTATATTAAGAGCAGTTTCCCAACAGGGATACTCACCTAGGCCTAGCTTGATCATGCGGTAGATGCGGTTGGAGTGGGTCTGAGGATCCTCAAGTGAGAAGCCAGAAGAGAGCAGTGCAGTTTCAAACAGCAACACCACAAGGTCCTTGACAGCTTTGTCATTCTTGTCTGCCTCTGCTTTCTGGCGGAGAGTCTCCACGATGGGGTGGTCAGGGTTGATCTCCAGGTGCTTTTTGGCCATCATGTAGCCCATTGTAGAGTTATCCCTAAGAGCCTGGGCTTTCATGATGCGCTCCATGTTAGCTGTCCAGCCATAGGTGCTTGTCACAATGCAGCAGGGTGAAGACACAAGCCTATTGGAGATTGTCACCTAAGGGCAGTCACAAAAACCTTGAGTTTATATTAAATTTTAAGGTAAAGTTTTATTAGAAAAAATGCTCAATCTTTGCCAAATTTTAAGGAAACGGCAACCTTAAACCTGCTTGCTTAAGAGAGCAAGAGGTTAGATGACTAAATTAGGTTGCTTAAAATCACCCATTGTGTAGCAACACAAGATTCTGAAGGAAAACAGCCTTGAAGGCATTTGTTACAAAATACATCAGTCCCAGAATTGCTTACCTTCTCAACCTTCTTATCCAAGATTTCTTTCATAAGTTTGCAGAGGTTCTCAAACTTGGCCTTGCTCTCTTCCATCTTCTTTTTCTCCTCTTCATCCTCAGGCAGCTCCAGGCCCTCCTTGGTAACTGAAACCAAGCTTTTCCCATCGAACTCCTTGAGCTGCTGCACACAATACTCATCGATAGGCTCTGTCATGTACACCACCTCGAAGCCCCGCTTCCGCACTCGCTCCACAAAAGCAGAGTTAGCAACTTGCTCTTTGCTCTCACCTGTAGGGTTATTAATGAATGTGAGTTAAAGACCAAAAAACTTAACACCAGTTCCTAGGCCTCCCCTAAATGCCCCCTCCTTCCCTAAATCCTTACACCTCTACTCAGGAGGCCCTCATTAGACCTAGGCTCCAACGCACCAGTGATATAATAGATGGATTTCTGGGTCTCCTTCATGCGAGAGACATATTCTGAGAGAGAAGTCATTTCATCTCCAGACTGGGAGGTGTGATAGCGCAAAAGCTCAGAAAGGCGTCGCCGATTAGTTGAGTCCTCGTGGATTCCAAGCTTTAAGGGTGGAAAGAAAAACAACAATCTTACTTGAAGATAACCTCTTACTCTCTATGTGAATGAAAAACACACCACATGGTAATTATAAAGAATGTAAGCATTTGCTGCCTCTACCTTTAGGTTTTTAGAGAATGCCTCGTAGAATTTCTTATAGTTCTCCTTGTCTTCTGCCAGCTCAGAGAAGAGCTCAAGGCACTTCTTAACAATATTTTTACGAATGACCTTCAAGATTTTACTCTGCTGGAGCATTTCTCTGGAAATGTTTAGGGGCAGGTCCTCAGAGTCCACCACACCTCGGATAAAGTCTGCAATCACAAAGAAAAGAAAGCTCAATAAATTTTTTTAAAAGCAGGAGATCACCTTTTTTCCTCACTGAATCTTCACTTGCTGTTTCAGAGAATCCTTAATTATCTAAGGTAAGGCCTAGCCAGTGGGTAGTAGTGTGGGCCTTTGGATTGAATGAAGGGTCCAAGGTTCCGTTCCAGTCAAGGGCACATGCCTGGGTTGTGGGCTTGATCCCCAGTGGGGGGTGTGCAAGGAAGACAGCCTATCAATGATTCACATTATTAATGTTTTATCTCTCTCCCCCCTCTTCCTTCCTCTCTGAAATAAACAAAAATATATTTTAAGATATATTTAGTCCCTCTGAAAATGCTGAAGGCCTTACAGGACTTACCCAACTAACACATTACAGCAAGAGGATACTCACTGAGATACTCTGGTATCAACTCATCACAGCTGTCCATTATGAACACACGGCGGACATAGAGTTTGATGTTGTTCTTCTTCTTCTTGTTCTCAAAGAGGTCAAAGGGAGCACGACGGGGGATGAACAGCAATGCCCTGAATTCCAACTGACCTTCTACAGAGAAGTGCTGAAATTTGAGACAAGCAACAGGACATTTCAAGGTTAAGCGTAAACTTTAGACCCAACACCATCTTTCCTAGGCACTAGAGCATACTGACAGGGCAGCTATTAAAAGAATTAAGCCCTAATATCCTAAATGAGTCTAGAGAATAGTCAGGTCCAAACCCAAGATGTGTAAGGTTACCATGGATACAAAGAGAGGTCACTGAAAAGGATGCAATTTCTCCACCCTAGTAGTGTCACAAGTAAACTCATGTTGGGCCATGACATTCAGTTCACAACTACCAACAAGTTGGGCAAGTTTCATTTGTCTAATATCAGCCACACCCTTCTACCTGCTCAGCCTATTGAGCCAGCATACAGGGTTTCCTCACCTTGACTGCCAAGTGGTCTTCCCAGTCATTGGTAAGGCTCTTATAGAACTCTCCATATTCCTCCTGGGTGATGTCATCAGGGTTTCTGGTCCAGATGGGCTTGGTCTTGTTCAGTTCTTCATGATCAATGTACTTCTCCTTAATCTTCTTCGTTTTCTTTTTCTTATCCTTAGCACTATCATCCTCCTCATCTGAGCCCACATCTTCAATCTTGGGTTTCTCCTCATCATCTTTATCTTCCTCTTCCTTCTCCCCTTTCTCTTCCTCTGCTTCATCATCACTGATTTCTTTCTCTCGTTCCTTCTCCAACTGAAAGTATCAAAGGCAACAGGTTAGAGGACAGAACAGCAGGAAAAAGGGGGGGGGGGGAATATGCACCCTGCATGTGAGGGTTTTCAGCCCACACTCACATAAAGAGTGATGGGATAACCGATGAACTGCGAGTGCTTCTTCACCACTTCTTTGACCCGCCTCTCCTCCAAGTACTCTGTCTGGTCTTCTTTAAGGTGGAGGATCACTTTCGTGCCCCGGCCAATGGGCTCACCTAGAAAAAGGCAATCACAATGGAGTACAGAGGAAACGAAACTAAACGCAGAAGTGTAGTGAAAGGTAACTGCTTTACAGATAGGATACTCTAGTAACGCTTTCCTCAGAATGCTAACCCAGTAACCTTTACAGGAAAGCAACCTACCATGGTCAGCCCGCACCGTGAAGGAGCCCCCGGCGGAAGACTCCCAGGCATACTGCTCATCATCATTGTGCTTTGTGATCACAACCACTTTCTCTGCCACCAGGTAGGCAGAATAAAAGCCAACACCAAACTGTCCAATCATGGAGATGTCTGCACCAGCCTGCCAAAACGTTTTTAAAAAGTCAATGTTTTGAAAAATAGCAAACCAAAGACCCTGGGATAAAAATACAAATAACGTGCGCCTAGCTGAAATACCACATACCTGAAGAGCCTCCATAAATGCTTTTGTACCAGACTTGGCAATGGTTCCCAGATTATTTATGAGATCAGCTTTGGTCATGCCAATGCCAGTGTCCACCAGAGTGAGGGTACGTTCCTGGGGGTTGGGGATGATGTCAATTTTCAGCTCTTTACCACTGTCCAACTTGGAAGGGTCAGTCAGGCTCTCATAGCGTATCTTGTCCAAGGCCTGCAAACACAAATTACAATTTATACAACTCCATCTCTTCACCTAAGAAAAAAAACCAACACATTTTTCCTGTTTTTTACTCCCACATAGCCCTAATTCTGATAACCCTTAACTTGAGGTTTAAAAACCGAATGCAGCCCTGGCCAGTGTGGCTCAGTTGGAGTGTTGCTCCATATATGAGATTGTGATTCTACATTCTTTCTCACATAGATGTTTTTCCTCTCGCCCCTGCTTTCTCTAATATCAATAAGCATGTCCTGGGCGAAGATTAAGTAAA